ATATGACTTATAAAAGTAAACTTCGGTAGAATTAAGAAATAGAAGTAGCATTTGAAGCTTTGAAGTTAACCTTTATTTTTGCATCAATCTTGTATTGCTTCAATTTTTTTGAGCCATTCTTTATGAAAAGAAATGCATTAATCTTTGCTTTGGGTATCATATTTTCATAAATAGAAATATATGATAAACTTTACCAAATAGCTTTTCATTCAAATAAAAATTCAATTACAAGATCAATTGAAAGTCCCACAATAAAGAACTTACAATTGAGGATTTGTTTCAAGAATAGAGCTATTATCTAGAAGGTGCTTCTAGTCTAATCACTATGTACATAGATTATAAGAATCTTTAGCATTTTATGTTAGTATGTATTTTTTATTATTCTCAAGCCAATTGAAGTATGTCTTTAATAAGATTTGAATTTATTTATCCACCATAAAAATAACTAGATTTATTCGATAATCTTTTTAAATTATCTTATCTTTCACAAAATAAAGGAGATGTAATTTTTAATCAACAACATATATTATTTTTTAAAGCTATAAAGATTTCATCTTTAAATAATATTAATTAATTGAAATCAATATTAATTATTGATTCAATTTTTTTTAATAATATTAATCTTTTAATTAAAATCAATATTAATTAATGATTCAATTTTTTTAAGCAAGTTTACTCAAGTATGTCCTTTGGACCTCTTGTTCTTGATATTAAAGAATATTTTTAAAATCTCATGATATTTTCAAGTTTGAATTCAAGAATAATCTACTCTATTTTGAAGATCACATATATGTTCCAAAACGTGAAGTATGATTACATATTTTCCAAGTTCATCATTATTTCTTAAGAATATGATATTTTAGATACAATAAGACTTTAAAATTAATATTTAAAGATTTTTGGTATCTTCAAATATAAAAGACAATGAAAGATTTCATATAATCATATGACATTTGTTCAAAACCAAAAATTCTTTTTCATCAATCTTACGGACTTCTTCAGCAATTTTCAATACCTATCCAAGAACAATTATAGTCTTCTATTTCTATAGATTTTATCAAAGATTCTTTAATCTTAGGTTCCTATGACTATATATTTGTGATAGTAAATTTTTTCATTGCTTGAAGTCTTTGAAGATCTATCATATATTTTATAAATCTTTTCTCAAGCCATAGAAGACAATGAATATCCTACAAAGGAGAGAAATGCCACTACCTCTTATAAAAGTAGATAATAATCAAGAGTTCAAGGTGGAAGAAGTCTTAGACTTAAGGCATCATCAAAATAGGTTGGAATATTTTGTTCATTGGTGCAAATACAACATTAGTGAATGCATATAAGAATCAATAAAGAATCTTAAAAATATAGCAAAAAAATTAAAACTCTTCATCAATGACATCCATCAAAACCAAGATGAAGAATCAAGCAATTCTATGCTATAAAATAAAGGATATTCAATAAAAATTGTATTCTATCTTCTATCCTTCATAGTAAATTCTTTGTATTTTTTGACAATATTAAGATGAAAAATCTATAATTAATAGATTCAACTCAAGAGCTATTGTTTTCTAATGCAATAGATGAGACATTGCAATTGTCATAACCTTTAAGACAACATAATTGAGATGAAGATCCTCAAGAATGACATATTTTTTCTTAAATAGATGGCAAAATATAATGTGTTTAATATCACAATCTTAATAGAAACTTCAAATGTCTCGTGATTTTATTAGAAGTAAGAAGGACTCTTGATGATATAATAAATCTTTTATTTAAAAAAGTTATGAAGGCCTCAATAGTGATGAAATAATAGGGTGGTTTTCTTGTCCTATAATAAAACAAAATCAATAGCTAAGAGGACCTATCAACTAATTTTGAAAGAAGCAACAATTAAAATATGTTACAAATATAATTTGTTGCATCTTAGACTTCATCAATATGTAATCACTGCTCTTTATAGAACATATTCTTAGAAATAGAGATAATGTCATGGACATACATATTAATTCTGATAGTTACACAAGTAATATAGATAAGTAGAATTATATAAAAGTAGATTAATTTCATAACATCTTCTAAAGAAGCTTCGTAAATGCAATTTCATCTTTATATATGTCAATAGGTAATTGATAGATTAAAAACTTGGTCAACAAATTAGCTACATATTGCATGTATTGATAGCTTGTCGTACAAACTAACAATGTAGCGCATATATAAGAAATTCGTCTTATAAATTAAAATATGTGTCTTATAAATTGGATACATGTTCGAGGTTTTATAAAAAAATTTCACATAATTCTTGAGTAGACAGTATATATAAAGCCTTTTTCACCCCTATCAATTTTTTTCTTGCTACTAGTCTAATTTCAAAGGTCTTTAAGTTTTTAGTCTTTTAGTAATAGACATTATAATTTCTTTTTAATAAATATATATTTTTAAAGACTTTTTTCAAAGAATGATGACAAAATGGAAACTTATTTATTTTCCTTCATCAAGTTTTTATCTTTAATACATATATATATATATTACTTACAAATTTTCTATTATTAATGATTCTTTTTATATTTATTCATAAATTTTCAAGTTGATTTCTTTTATAGATTAATTTTTTTAATGATACATAAATTAATATATTAAATTTTCTTTTTATCATTATAATAAAAAATTATTATTTTATGATTTATTCATTATAATATTTTTTAAGTATTAATAAAAGTTCTAAAATTTAAAAAATATATATATACATAGTAAGCATATTAGATTGTATATTCTAATTTTATTTATAAAATTTTTGTTATATTTTTTCATATTTTAATTAATAAATAATTTTTTATATTATTATATATATATTTTAATATCTTAATATTATATATTTTATAGAAATTGATACTTAGAAGTATTAAACAAAATATCTTTTTTATTTGCAATTGAAATAATAAACATGTTGCTTATCATTTTAGTAAACAAACAACTCTTGTAGTGATAGATAAAACATTCTTTTGTAATACCAATAGATATATGACATGCATTCATTTCTTTTAGTGAAATATGTTTATTATTTTTTAAAACCATATATTAATTTTTTTATTTACATTAGAAATATAGTCATATGTATTATTTAATTTTTATATAAAAATAACTTTATAAGATGTTATTAATGCAAAAAATTAATCCTTTTGTTATGAATTTAATTAAGTATTGACTGATATATTATAAAAAATAAAAATACATTAATATACTAATTTTTATAAAATATTAAGCTAAATTTAAAAAAATAATTTTATAATTTTATAATTTTTTATAATTTTTTATAATTTTATATAAATTTTAATTTATAAGTAGTATAACTTAAATTAAGTTATTTAAAATTATTACATATAAGAATCATAATCCACATCGAATATTAAGTACACCAATTAGATGAATAAAAATAAATAAATAAATAATATTTTTTATTTTATATATATTTTTACAAAAATAAATTTTTTATTTATATAAATTAGACGTTTGGATTCTAATAATTAAAATAAAAAACAATTTTTTTTAAAAAAAATCACAGAAATAGAATATTTATTTTATTCTTTAGAATAAATAGATATTATTAAATAAATAGTAAAGTTGGAGTTTGTTTAAAAGACATAAACATAATTGAGAAGGTTAAAAAGAATTTTAATCTTAAAAGTGATTACTCATTGATATAATAATAGAATTTAAAGTGATTCACTAATCTTCTAGTTAAATTACAAAAAACAAGCTCTCTTGATGTTTGTCAAATAATAACAAGTATATATTTGAAAAGTAAGAATGAGTGTATCACAAGATAGAGTATCAAAAAAATTGCTTGAATTTTTATTTGTATCATAAGTTCTTTCTAAAAACAAATTATCTTAACTTTGTAGATTATTCCAAATTGTGTTTCAAAATCTTGAAGAAGTTTTTTAAACTTATAGAATAATCTACTATTTTCAAGAAAATAAAAGCACATTTATTGACATATATTATGAAATTGATAAATAAATTGACAAAGAGGAAGAAGGAAATAACAACTATGCATATCATGTCTTCTAAAGAAGCATCTCAAAAGAAAAAGAAGAATATTTATAAGTCTTTTATTACAAAGACAAAGAAACATAAGCCTATTAACATTATCAATTAGATATAGATGATCTATTTGAAGCATCAAACAATTGAAAGGTCTTAATATTTCTTAAACATAAATAATTGTATTATTATGTTACTAAATTTAATGTGCCTAAACATAAATAGATCTTTATCTACATATTGTCATAGTATAAATATCTTAAACTTAAAACCCTAGTAGTACAACAACTAAAGCAACATCGATTGGGTAATAGTAACACTACAACTAAAGCTAACTTTTGTGCTGATTACTATGCTGGTGTGAACATAGGAAGGGGAAGTTGATGGAAAAGAGAGATCTTTCTGGTTAGAAGTACAAATATCCGCAGAAGAGGCTCAGAACCCTAAAAGTTAGGATGGAAAAGCAAATCCGAATAAAAATCGGATGATATTTGCAACATCTAGGCAACGAGAAAGAGAGAGAGACAAAAGAAGAATCGTCGCAAGGAGCAATGAAAGTAAAGGAAAGGAAAGGGGGTGCAGGGCTCCTCCCCCTCAAGCACAGCAGAGCAGAGCTCTCTTTCTCTCTACTTCCCGCCAAAACATGCCACCTGGCAGGTCAGGTCTTGAGCCACGTTGGCAAGAAGTTCTCCCTCCAAATGTTTATTGTCCATAGCCCCAGAACACGAACGCTAATAGATCCCAAAGCCGTCGTTCCCACTTAATCATTCATCCAGAGACTCACCTTCGTTATTGGATGATACCGTTGATAGATGGATGTGTGCATGTATGGATGAATGCTGGACTCCAACCATGTCCTTCCTTCCTTCCTCCCGAACTAATGAATGGGTAATCCATCCTAGTTGGCAGTGCCAGCGTGACCAAGTCGGGATCACCAACGGGACGAGGTCACCTGGCTATGGCGTCAAATGCAACCAACCCCCATCTCCTCCTCTTCGAGGCTCCCCTTCGAAGCATGCTTTCACTCTCTCGTGTGTATTTTCTCTGGCTATGGGTCTCAATGCTCTCTGCCATCCGTCGCGATGCCCTCTCGCGTCGTCGTTATGCGCGCTATTCTGGACTCTTCTGTAGACTCGAGAGAAGCCGATTCCAACGATCCTCTTCGTTTCTAATTCCGTCGAATATTGGTTGAAAATTGGGAGGGTTACTTGATTGTCTCGAATCACTCACTGTTAAATGGCACGGTGTTCTTGGTTCGCCAGACGCTGGGAAAATAGCTGGTCTTCCGTTGTAGTGGAGGGTTGATTTCTATGAATGTGTTGTAGTTTAAAAGTCGATTGATTGTGAGAGGAATTTGTCGCAACTGCGGAATTCATCTCTTTACTTTTTCTTCGCATCGGAATTTGAGGAAGTGTGTGGTTGAAGTAAGGCAGCAGTGCACGTTAAATTGAACGAGGTAGAGGGAGGTAGGAAGGAAGAGTATCTATGGTATCACAAGTCGATGCTGTTTTGGACAATTCGTGCTGTGTATCTACGGTAGGGTGTTTAGGAAGAGCTTAGAGACTCTTGTTTTGGGGTTTTGGAGCTTTGGCCTTTGTTCTTGCCGTCGGAGATATGTGTGGCAATTTGGCTCTGGTTTAGTCCAGATCTCTCGGCATAATCTAGGATTTCAGGTTTTCCTTTTATAGTTGAATATGAGAAAGGTTCAAGGGACGCTATGCTGGAAGGTATGGAGGTAAGCCGATACCCGTGGTACAAAGGGTTGGACTTGTAGTGGATTGGCCAGCTTTCTCTTTGGTTTCTCTGCGATACTGCAATCAAAGCAGTCGCTCATTACTTCAGATAACAACCTGCACGGACGAAAGGTTTGTCATCACGCTATCATGTAGTCCTTATGTGGAATTTTTTGGTACCGAGTCTATACAATATGTTCTTTTCGAAAAGAAGAAAAACCGTGAAATGACAATGACCTTATCCTCTGCAAAGAGCTTCTTGAGCGTAGAGTTCTCACGTGATTTTGTTTCGTAGTTTCGTAGTTGAAGTTGAGTATTTGGTCGCGTGCAGCGTTCTGTCTAATGGTCGCACACTAATGCAATCTGTCAATTGCAGTCACTTCGACTTGGGTGGCTCCCAAACTTTTAAACATCTCTTAGGAGTTTATTATGTAATCCCTTCTTAACCTTTGATTGAGTTTGTTTACGCGCATGATGCATAGCGATAATGTCTGTGCTGGCAGGATAAGACTCTCCTTTGAGTATCCCAAATTCATAAAGTGGTGAGAAATACCCTATGGCTGCCGCAGAAGCCCGTGCCGTCTGGCAGCGGACTGCGATAAACCGTGCCGTTCAGGAAGATACGGTTAAAGCCCCCAAGTTGGCACACTGTCCTTCCTTGAAGGCACAAGATTCTCACTCGTCCTACCTCGGTAATAGCTGGGGTTCTATGGACACGAAAGTTGATTTACCTCGACAGCTGAGCTCGAGTACTCATCGTGATTATCGATCCGAGTATTTTGGAGTAGAGGATTTTGTTGGATCGCGGTTCAAGCCAGGTTTACAAGCCCTTGCGGCTGAGCGAGGCAGCACCAAGAGTGGAAGCCCAGGTTAGTGTCATTTTCAGTCTCTACATGCATCGCGTTTCGTTTCGAGGGCCACTTTTTCTCCACCTTTCCCGCCAAATTTGTGTCCCCACACACGACCTATTATTTCTCACAGCAGATTGTTATGAATTTCAAGGCTCTGATGTCATGCCGTCAACAATGTGGTTCTGCCGGATATTTGGATCCCTGGTTGAAAGAGGTGGATAGTAGTGAGTTGCCATCTTCGGCTCCAGGTGATATGACTGTCATTGAGCATGGAAATTTCTACAACATCGAGACTTCTTTTAGTTAGAGTTATGAAAGATCTGTAAGATGACGGAAGTGCCCCGTTGAACAAATTCTTATCAGAAGTTAATGCAACAGGTTACATGGGTGTACCATCCGAGTATTCTGTTGGCAGTGAAGTTGACATTGGGTGGCAGTTCGTCTTGGATCCAAAGCCTAAGCCAGGACATGCTTCTGGATTTGAAGTGCTAGACAAGGAGTTCGAAAAAGACAATGTTGCGGCTAGTTTAGTTGAAGAAGGGGTTGAGACAGAATCTGTAAATGACGAAGAGATAATCTTCCATTGTGCCATGGCTCAAGAGATGAGTAACGACAGCGTCATGACAGAAGAGATAACAAAGAAAGATGTTGAAGGGTTGACGGATCAGCCTTCCAACTGCAGTTTGGAACCCAATGAAACATCAAGGAAACTGGGAAATGCGAGTGTACACGGAAAGGGGGAAGTGAATTCTGTGATGATTGAGCGTTCTGCGGAATGTCTTCCGGCATCTACTTGGTCATTAACAAACAGTCCATCTTCTAAAGCATCAAATTCGTGGCGTACAGCAGACAAGGAAGCTTTGGCTGTATTAGTTGCACAGAAAACATCAGAAAAGCTTGAAAATTGTGATCTTCCTACTCCGAGATCTAAGTGTAGGACAATTATGGACAGTTGGGAAGTGCTTGAGGAAAATCCTCTAGATGCCTCAAAATCCGTAGATCGTGACTTATTTACTTCCTCATTTCAGGATGGTGATTCGTCTCATCTTGAGAATGTGGGTCTACATACAAACACACGTCCATCTACTAGATCAGAACCCAAGTCTTCATCATTTCTTCCGGCAACTACTCAGCCTCTCAATATTTCCGTGGGTCGTAGTATGCCTATGCATCATCGTCTTTCACATAGCTACAGGTATGTCGTTTTCTATCTAGTTGTTTTAACTTGCTGTGAGTTACGTGTAATAAGGTTCCCGACACTCCTTCCACCGGTAGTTCTCTTTATTTAAGTATTCTCAAAAAATCTTCAGAGAGAAGAAGAGGTGTTAGACCTGGGGATTCATTTTTAGTGGTTAATGTTTACAGGATTAGATGGTATCTCAAGTTCAAACTTATAAACCTACTTTTATAATTGGGTGGTCACATTGCACGATGCCCAATGGCAGATTGTCGAATTTATTAATAGACTTGGCAATGTTATGCACCAGTGCTGACAACAAAAGTACAAGCTGGAGTGGCGGTGGTGGAGGTGGAGCAACTGGCAGTTTCTTAAATAAAAGTTTGAATCCTTTAGTAGAAGCACTGTGTCACTCTCAAACTCGAGCTAGAGAAGCTGAACAAAGATCCGAGCAGGCCACCAGAGAGTACAAAAGCATGTCTCACTTGTTTTTCCGAGAAGCTTCTTTGTCTCTTACGTACCGTCACTGGATTTGTTCTTTGCAAGCGGAAAATGCATGGCTCAAAATGTGTGTCCAGAACCATCATGGGGCTATATGGCTTCAGCACAGTTTCCCGTCAACTTCTGTCGTTCTTGACCAATTGTCGAACGGTCCTTGGAAACTTTTTATGAAGGAGAACATTCATCGCCAGATGTTAAAGCATTTCTCAGACGTCTGGCGCTGCAAGGACTCAAGCATAGGTGCTACTGCGAGGAACGTTAAAGATGACGCTAATTTTCTTCTGGGTTGCACCATTGGACTTGCATTTGCACTTGGTCTCACTCTGGCTGGAGCTGGACTTGTGCTAGGGTGGAGGATGGGATGGATTACCTTTCCCTGTCAAGGTGCGATTCGCTGATGCTGTGAAGACTTCTTTCTTATGTTGAAAGACGACCGGAGACGAAGACGAGGGGCTCCGCATATTACCGATGGGAATTAGTTGTAATAATGCGAATGTTTTGTGATGTCCTGAGCTGGAACTATGGTAGTTCGAATTCCTGGATAATCACTAGGTTTCAGTGGGCCAGAATAGTGGAGCAGGATTATAATTAAGTGTAGATGTTAATGGGAGGGTCACCAAGTCGCACTGGATATACAATTCAACGGCTTCTCCGTTGGTTATTGTCAAGGTAACTTGATACGTAGATGTACAATAGAAATGATGTAGCTCTCTTGCTGATTTTTCGGAACAGCTTGTAAAGTATCCTATATGCAGTGAACAGTTTGATCGACATTTGGAACAGTTAATTATCAAGATCTCTCTGTTCGGACTCAGAAGCATTTGTTAGGTTTTTCAGGTTGTGAGGAACCTTTAGTCATTACGTTTCTTGCACGTCATTGTAAGTCCTTGAAAGCTTGTTCTACCAGAGCAGGAGGTGTGGTGGACATAAAAGGCAGCGTGTGGTGTTGTGTTGTCTCACACTTGTTTTTCACTATTGATTTTCCATGTTGATGGGCATTTGCGCCTTGAGTGATGTAGCCAATAGAAGAACACATGTCTGATGCAACACGAATCTTTGGTGAAACTGTTTGTGAGATATTTGTGCTAAGGCCGCAGGTTACATATCATAGGTGTCATAGGTGAAATGCGTGATGACAATTGCACCGAGGCAACGACGAAGTTTTGTTAAAATTGTATGTGATATGCCACCGTCTAGATTTGTTTCTACTTCTTTTGCAGAAGTTGTCCGCGTACCCTTGGCTCAACTGGGGTAAAATCTTCAGCCAATGGATTGGTTTCATTGAGTAGGTATTTAATTTGCTTCAAGCGTATTATCTTTGCTGAAACCTTGAATTCTAAAATTTTGTCGTTTCTTTTTATATCTGGAGACATTTATAGTTCTTATCAGTTGGAAGTACAAGGGCTTCCTCGTTGTTGGCTTGCAGGTTGAGATTGCGTCATGCAAGAGTGCACAAAACTGCTGTTTGAAGTGTTGAAATTTTACACAACATACAAGAATTTGGTTTGTATCTTTGATGGTTTGGAACAGAAAAAGGTTTTGGTGCCTTAGATAATGAAGCAAACAGCACTTTCGTAGTACTTGCATTATCTCTCAAGCTTTATTCTGTTTGAAAGGTAGCTTTTTCTGTTTACGGTTATGCACACTCAAGCTCTTTGACTTTATCATTTCAGAAGAAGCCGGCATTGCAGGCTGACTTGGTGCACCTTGTAAGTGGGATCTAATTAGAATACATTGAAGCCTTGTGCATTCTAATTCGACCTATTGTTGAATTGATGCTCATTATATTCATTGATCAGTAGGGTTACAACGCAGTTACGTTGTTGGAATTTACAAGCGAATAGGTTTGTTTGACCTCAATAAGTCTGCACATCGATGAACGAGGAGGAGCGGCATCTAGCCGAGCTTCATGCTGAGATCACCGATTCAAAATTGAATAATCAGTATTTAGAAAATGAGCGAATTTTAAACAGAGAGAAAACTATCTGCAGCAGAAGCTGAAGCAGAAATCGAGATAAAGCAGCAAGCTCCTTGTTGTGTGTGTAACCGAGAGCATTGGATAAAAGTTGACACATTTCGATTGATCACTGAAACGTTTGATCCCCTCCAAATAATCGTCTTTCTAAATTCTGCCTAATTGGTAACAAATTCATCTGTTTCCGACACGCTGCAACACACGTCACAGGAATTTTTTTTGTTTATCGTTCTAACGTTCCATTCATGGACACCCTGTTCTGTTGCAGTCGCACTGAGGAAACAGAGGCAAGACCGAGAGGTGGTGGCAAGGAGCTAGAATAATCTCAGGAATCGTCGACGAATATCTTCTGATGCGGTAGTTTTTATTTGTATGGTACTTATGATATCACTATTGCTGCGTATACTTTTTGAGGGATGAGTACTGGAATAATTCTTGACCTTGTTTTTCTGCATTAGAAAACGACCACGAATGAAAGTGCGTTGGTTCAGACGGAACTCGGTTTGAAAGAATCAAAAAGCGTGTCGATTGCTTGGAAACAGCACAACACTACCCAACGCATAGAATAATCATGCAGCGGGGCCATCCCTGAGAGTTCATTCAACTCGCGGGACGTAATTCTCCGATCGAGTTCACACCACCAAGACCCTCTTTTAATCAATCTTACAGATTCAAATATTCCTCGCCAGATCCGCTCCGCTCTGACTGCTCCATGGCCGTGTGGCTGTTGATCTCGACCTCATTCGCAAATCTTCCCATCCTCTGCCCACTTCCACATTAGTTCAGACCATCGCCATCTCACTCCGGAATCGTGACTTCACGACATCATTCTGCCTACCATATTATTCCTTGCACGGGCAGGACTGTGGCGTTGCTATTCTACTTGTGATATTGGTGTCGATCGGGGCTTGGAAGGAGCTTGTGGTGGTCGTTTCAACGTTGAGTGTGCATCGCATTGACGAAGTAGAAGGATAATTGGGTGAGAGGGTCGGTGGCGATGGCGGCATCTACAGCAGGGTTGGTGCCCATCAACAGGGCGTTTCTTGCCAAATTTTATGACAAGTATCCATTTGCGCCGCTAGCTCCTGAAGTTGAAACGCTGCTGGCTTTGCTTCGGGAGCACGTCCACAAAGCGCAAACTGTTAGTCCCGGCTCTCGTGGTAGGTCTTCAAGGGTCTTGTCTTGGGTTGGCGATTTCTAGAAACTCTTCTTATCGAATAGCAATAATCTGCAAGTATCGTTTCTCGAGCCATATCTGATGTTAGAAATATGGAAGCTCATAATCGGCGATCAGGGTTCGAATGTGGGTCACGTCATAGAGCACATTTTAGGATGGGTCGAATTCACAACCCTGGGAAGATCGCGCCTCTTCTCCTCACATGCATCTGAAAACATGTTGGGCTACCAAAATTTGCAATTTGTGGAACCGCCCATATGAGGTGGTTTGCAGGACCCACTTTTTTTGTCTTTTGATCCTTGGATTTATTCCTGCTGCTCCGTTTCCCCCTCACCAACCCTTAGTGCGTCTGCTCCGATGTCGATGTCGGTAACCGATTTATTTCTTTCTTCCTCCTTTACCTTTGACAGTAATCGATTCTATTCTCTTGTCTATCATTCGCGGTATGGATGATGGCTATGTTTATTTTCCAGAACATCTCCTAATTTGGCGAATGGTTTAGCTTGACTTAGAATGCGTGGAAGTTTAGGAGTGAATCCTCAAAAACTTGAACAAGAGGATCTTGGTGGAGGAATTGTTCGAGGATCGTGGTTCTAGATGAGAGAAGCATTCCCTTCACGGCGGCTTTATTCCTTGTCACTGTGCTGTAGTGTTACAAGACAACACTAGGTGCTAATTTATGCCGATCCCGTAGTTTAGGGTAAAGTGTGTGCGTAAAACCGACAATTGACATAAGGCTTTGAGACTTTGAAGAAGGTAGTTCTGGATTTTCTCAAAACTATTGAGGCATATGTGTCCCTAGATGGGCTCTCTCCTAGCAGAACTAGTCAAGCATTCGCTATGTATCGTGTAGAATGATGAAAGGTTCAGACTGTGGCAATCAATCTGTATTCCTTCTCTTGCAATAGGGTTTGCTTTTCAATAATTTAATCAATCATGCGGTTCTCGTGAAATCAATTGCATGCGGCATCCACCTGGGTGCTGGAGTTCCCTGATGCCGTCCCTTCTTTCCGAGTCTATGGCTAGATGCTGATAATTGGTGCAAGTTTTAAACCTGTAGATATAACTACGGAGTCAATCTCAGTGATGTATCCGCGCAGTGGCGTGTGCTGAACGTGTATGTGAGGAGCAACTATTTAATCGATTAGGAAATTGGTTTTTACAGATAATGGCGCTCTGATTGGGCAATTCAACAACCCAGCTCCTCACAAACTCGATGAAAATTTGTGGAAAAACCGAGAGATGATTGAAGAAATGCTTCATCTTTTGTCAAAGAGGAAGTGGCCTTCGTCGGTGTGTTTCCCTTTAAACTTCCAACCATGAGCTTGTAATTTTGCAGCATTTTGATGTTAAATGTGGAGAGACAGTCAGGAAGACTGTTTCTATACACTGTATAGTTTTACAATGTTATTTCTTGCCTCTTCGACTGGTGCAGCAGGAATATTAAGGACTTCATAATTGGATCGTGAATGACGTTAGGTTATCACAAGCTGTCAACAAATTAATAAATTAGCGGCATAACGAGCTTGTTTGTGAGGATATCTATCGGTTTTGATCACCTTTTAGACAGTCGGCTTTGATATGAAGTTGAAGTGAACAAATACCAAGAAGATTTTTTGTATTCTCAAAGCCTTCTGTTGTTACCGAGGCTTGTCAATCTTGCATCCGATTTTACTGCCCTAATGATAAAATTAATGTACGATGACTCAGCGTTCCCCACGCTTGGAAGTCTTTAGGGGATGGATCAGTTCATTCTACACAATATTTATTAACCTAGTTCTCAGATGGCCCGACACTTTATCTTGTGGACAGCAGTGCCTGTCGATATTTCGTGAATTGATACTGAGCATTACTTTTCCGTGATGTTTCAGCTGAAGGGTAATGTTTCTTCCGAGTTGGAGCCAGTTGCAGAGCGCATTAAAAAGATGGAGGTTGGCTTGCAACAGTTGCTGGATAAACTTGTAGCATTTCAGAAAGTTCAAAGTGAAAGGATTTTCAGCATGGGTGGGTACACAATGACAATGGTTGGGTTACTGCTGTACAACATTGTTGCATTGCGTCATGCCTCAGTAAAACAAGTGTAAATTTTTCTCCTTATGTTTTAAAATATCATAGATGTTAGATGGAATCTGTTGTCCTTGTTGAAAATAAATTACTAACATTCGTAAACGTTGTGAGATCACTTATGTTAAAATATCCCGTCTTAAATCAATTTGGACGGGAGAAAGCTGCTGGAGAACTTTGAAATGTAAGTCAAGCAAAGAATGAAAGTCTGACAGTATCGTGCTGTTGTAGTTCTTACGTATATGCCTCAAGATTTCCGATTGACCTATCTCAAACAATATCGGGAGCGTTCTGAGAAAAAGAAACAAGCCGAAGTTGATAATCTAATGGCATCTGGGGGAAGTATTCACGACAAATATGTACTTCTCTGGAGCCAGCAAATGGAAAGGTTTGTCATTTGTGCCCCAAGATCGTGTTTGTGAGGGTTATGATCATCTCTATTTGCAATCTATGGACCGCTGATGCCATCAAAAGTTTAGTCAATCTCCAGAGTAGTCAATGACTGTCACCTTCCTTTCCATGTCAACATGCATTGAGGTCTTACGTTTTATTTTATGGTGGACTTGTGGTACACATGCAGACGGCGTCAATTAGCGCAGCTAGGTTCTGCTACTGGTGTTTTTCGAACACTTGTCAAGTATCTTGTAGGGTGCCCTCAGGTAACTCCTAACCCTCATGCATATTCTGGCTAGTTTTTTTTGGCAGGATAAGCGATTTAGTTGTTTGAATTGGAGTTCCGAAGTACTTATGATTGGTTTGCATGCTCATGATGTGAGCATGATTCTTTTCTGCTATTTCGAAAACGATTGCTAACATATCAACTGGATTCTTGAATTGATTGTAACTGATGACATTAATGTGCCAGGTGCTATTGGAGTTTGTTTGTAAAATCAATGATGACCATGGGTACGTGTACACACTTTCTTAACCTTTGTACATTGGTCTACAAGGACTGAGTTGCGAAAGTGATTGCATACTTTTGTTTCACGCTGTAATGAGTTTGTTTTGTAGTGAAGTCGCAGTGGTTCAAGATTCCCTGTGCACGAACTTCAAGTTTGCCTTCATTGAGCTTTTTTTTTACATGGTTTTCAATCATTCACTTGTATTTGCTAGTAATAAGCATCATACCTCTAGAATCATGGTATGACTGCTCTTTGTGTTGCTTGCAGGCCAATGGAGGAGCAGAGAGAGCGATATGGACCTTCTCTATACAAGCTGACTACCTTCGCAGTTGCTTTACGAGTTTTTCTTGCAGTGTGGTGGTCTGCATTCGATTGTGAAGACATGTGAGTACTTTCCACTTTTGTAGCTGTTCTACTTTTAAACGTTACTTAGGTAAATGCCATCTTCTCTTGTACCAAGTATATGATTGAAAGTATTGATTACAGGTTTACGTCGGTATCTTTTTCTGGTGATTGATTCTTTTGGTTGCTCTACTTGGAGTACATTTTTGGCAGATACGTTAAGTATATTTTGGAGAAGCATGTATTTTCATGATAGGATGCTATACTGATTACAAGTTGTGAATAGAGTCACGCAATCATGTAATTCAAGTGTTCACCATGGCATGCCACATTTTACCATTATGTTTATTGGTGATGGTTCCTGACTTGGACATGCTTTTGATTTCTTTACTTTGTTATTTAGATAGTATCTTGTTCTCATTACAGAAGTAGGGAGGAGATGCTGGAGGTTCTGGAGCAGTCAGTGGAGGCTTACAAATTCGACTTTACACGTTATCTTGACTTCATGCAGTATGCCTTTCACACCTTCTGATGATGGATCCTCCGATTCTGACGTCATACTTTCTGCATTTCCCATGCCCAGTTTTTGCTTGGAGCGTTTGTTGTCATTAGAAGATTGCCCATTTCATTTCTTGCTTTCAGCTGTGAGTGGTATCTTTACTTCTTAAGATATGAACATGAAGTTATGACTTCATTTTTCCTTGCATTGAGTGAAAGGATTTGACTTGGAGGCCTCGGCATTCATAAGCGTTCGGTTTCCTTGTACGATCGTAGTAGGTTTCGTTCTGACTCTAGTTAGACAAGGTGCTCTGTTCTTGGTGAATAAATAACGAATGATGCTTACTGTTTTTGTTACAGGGAAGTGTTCAAGAACTCTCCCTTCTTCATTACTCCTGAAGAAGCAGGAATAGCAGCGTATGCATTTCGCACCCGAAATTCTGATTTCTATTCTGTATTAAGCTTATATACAGTGCATTTTGCAGTTCCTTGATGTAAATGGATTCCGCTTTTTAGTAGCACCAGTATTGCTTCGTTGAACAGCATGCTTTCTTTTCCTAAGATTGTGTGCGATTTTCATCAACTTCGGCTTGTACAGTTCTGCTGATCAAGATTATAAGGAGGCAACCATTGCTGCAGGGAAAACACATGAGGTAGGTCAAAGAATGCTACCGATCTGAATTTTTTACTTTCGAAAAAGAAACTTGGCCGTTGATTTGATCTATACATTTGATTTTTTCTTGTGCATGTATTCATACCCTACAATTTTCCTACCACTATTTACCAGACTGCAACCAGCCGCTTTTGTCCCGCGATGACTTTTTGTTGATGTCACAAGTGATGTGTACGGATTCATTCGTCCAGCATTTGCATTGTTCAGCGGACGCTGGGTGTTGGGTTTTGGTAAATCATGACAACTGACTGTTCGTGTCCAGGTTATTCTGCCAGTGAAATATGAGGGTGCATTGGTTGCCTGGGATTTTCGATTAACTTCTGGAAAGGTAATTTTACTTCCGTCATTTTGTATGCTTTCCCCTCAACCCTCTAACGACTAAGCAACCTCAAAAAGCTTCGGAAACTGATCTTTCACCGTTAGAAGTTTAAGAAGTTTATCCATATTCTTCAACTAATAAGTTCTACAACTATTGGGCTTCGGAAGTACATGAAATTGATAAATCTTTGTTCATGCACAATTTCGTTAGACATCGCTTACTATCTAAAGTATTAATTCTATCAGTATGACCGACATCCTGAGACTGGAATGATGCTCATTAGCACCAGGTTTTTGGACGTGTTTATCTACTTAGTTCAGTTTAATGGGCTTCGTTTTTATTTCGCACATTCAACTGCAAATCATATACTTATTCTACATGGGTTTCAAACCATGTAAAATTTTAAATCATTGCCATCAAATTATGAATTGTTTGAATTCATGGCAAATGCTCAAATTTTAGGATATGGTATAAGTAGGATGATTGTTTGACGCTCAATTCTTACTTTCAGCTCGGTGCTAATGATCGGTTCTTACTTTGCTTTGATGAAGTGGTTAACGTCGAGTATGTGGCACATTGTCTTTTAACAGTCTTGTCTTGGGAAATTTCATGATTGTGGTTTACGAATTTTAATTGATATTATACTGGCACTTCAGGATATTGGGTTCAGCGTGGAGTTAGTTGATTCATCTAGAGCAACAAGGCCCATGTTTCCATATCAAAGATATGAAACTCATCAGGTATTTGTTTCCTTGAAATTGATCGTTTCCTTTCGAACGTATCTGCGAAGGCTAATTTCAATTGTTCCACAGTATAGTTATAGGAGGAAAAGGGAGAAAAAAAGAAAAGAAAAGAAAAAAAGATCTTAATATCAGTAGTGTAAATAATCCTATCATTCAATTCTATCGTACCTAATGTCTAAATCAAGACAATGTTTTCCTTGAAATAATATTATATGAGTCTAGCTAAGGACTCAATTCATTGTTCTTTTAACTTACTAAGACATTTTTGATTGAGAACTGCAGTAGGTAAGCATTTATATCAGCGCTTACATTTCTGCTCTCAACGTAATAGATTTTCAATCTATTGACAGGAAAACTGACTATTATCTGGAATGTCTTCTGTTGTATTTAATTTGTTGTTCCCTTGATTTCTTTTTAACAGGGCAGTTTCCAATCTCCGTGTGTTGGAAATTACAGGCTGGTCTGGGATAATACTTATTCTAACTTTTATCGCAAGGTTTGGCAATTTTTGCTTCCAGTATGCTTTTTTCCAAATTCAAAAGTATTGTTACTCAGAGGCCGATACTTTTGCTGCAATCAGATTCTCCTCAAGATCGTTCATCAATAATTTAGACTTGCTTCATACGTTCATATATGGTTCACACTGTATCGGAACTTGGGGCAGTGAAAAAATCACATGGTTATTGTAAAGGTTGTTCTAGGTTCTTCTGATTGGGTTATTTTCGTGTGATTGCAGTACTTGCGTTACAAAGTAGACGAGATTCCGCCAGTGCTAGAGGAGGCAGTTATCGAAGGGACAGAAGTATCCACAAGTTCTGATTCCACTCTTACCTGAAATTTGATCATTTAGTGAAGCTAGGACTTGTACTTCTGGAGCAATGGAGGCCATTGTATATGAGTTAAAGACCTGCTCCAAGCTTGAGTTTAAATTTGTATTCTTACCTCATTTTCATGGCTTAGTACAGTGAACACAATTGGTCCACCTCCTAGGAACATTTCCAGAGGGTAAGATCTGGATGAAGAGTTAGAAATCCCCTCACTTGGCCTCAGAACTGTTGACAGTTTTGGGTTACCACATTACTGAAGACAGGGAAGGCAATCCAGATGCAAATGGTTGAGCCTCTACAGCATTTGATTTTATAGTTCAGGCTGACGTTTAGCAGCCGTCTCTAGTACTGTGTTCATCGTATTCATGAACGACCTAGTTATGTTTATCTTATTATAAATCTTCATTCAGTCAATGAAAAAGGGAATGTACGGAATAGAATGTTTCATGTTTTTTCTTTAGTTGTATTCTTTCATGCTGTTGGCAATAGCATTGTTATGACAAACAATAAACACGCCTGTTAACGTTTTCTTTATTTTTCTAGCTGTTTCACTTGCTCATTGTTGTAGTGTGTGGTTTGTCCACATAGTCTCTAACTGTAAGAAATGTTGGTGCGGTATCACTGTTTGATTCCAGGCTGATCATTTCCTTCTCTGTTGATTCAAGTGTGAGCTAATAGAGCTGAGCACACCCAAAACTGGCGTGCATCCAGATCCATTCACATAAGTTTCATTTCAAGCGCACTGGAGCATGAACCTCGAAGTGATGAAGTTTCCTAAAATGCACAACCCTTAAAGAATCAAAGAGACTATTCCGGGAATGATCCTCCATGCTTCAATATACCATGCTATTTTGGGATGAGTTATGAAGTTACTCAGTGAAGTAATGAGGTCTAAAATATGTAGTTCAAATGTGGGAATGTAAAGCAATCGAAAACAAGAGGTCAAAGTGGGTCAAGTGAGGGATAACTAAAAGAATGTGCACAACTGAAATGTGACGGTTTGTCGTGGCTGACACTAACCGATGGCTTGCAGGTGCAGCCAGCAGTGTCTCCTAATATTCCCATCTAATCTAGATAACTAGATGAACCGACGACACAACAGCCATTTCCACGTGTGCTCCGCAGGTGATGTTGGCGCATGCGTCTTCTCGCATTCGGTACCAATCCCAATTCAGTGGTTTTTAAAATTATTTTCTAACACCCAACCTGCCGCTACAGTCTGGTGCATGAGACAAACTGTGAAGAAAAGATGGACACTGAGGTAGATGAAATTAGTACAACCAAGGTTAAGATGCGATCGCAGCACGCCAATGGAACAGAACACGAGCACAACAGACGAGAGCAGGATGATTGCAAGGGAGCCTGGAGTGGTGCACAGCAGAATTTTTCTCATAAGGTCATCTCTCTCTCCTAAGCCTCCTCCTGCCCTACAGCCCCTTAATGCTGGCTTGGGTGTTTCGATGTCACCGCCATCATCTCACAGCACACCAACACAGAACTAAGTGATGGTAAAAACATCATCTTGTCATACTGTGCGAAGAAGCAGTGGAAAGACAACACATTTGCAAGTGCACACGATATCCTTTTCCACCACCGATCGATGCAGAGGAGATGGAGGTGTGTTACCTCTGGATTTTGAGGGAATGCAGAAGGTGAGGATGATGTTCGATTGGCTCACATGATGAAATTCTTCTTATTTCGTGTGTGTGTGTGCGTGTGTGTGTTTTCCTGTTACAAGTCTACATTGTGAAGGATTAGTCGGAGGTCTGGGATCAAGTTTGGGTTGTGGATCACTCGCTGTCGGTATGAGCAAGCATCCTTCGAATGCCGTGGACGTGTTTCGCATCCCCCCAACCGGTAATGGTAACCTGCTGGACCAGTCACCCAACCCTACCCGGGGGGTTGAAACAGTAAACCGTTCCCGGGTATTGGGATGCTGCCCCCTTATTGATACCCGGATGTTCTCATGTTTAGACCTCTCATGTCCAACCCCAGCACAGGTGGGACTGGTAATAATGCTATCACTATGTCCAACTAATATTATTAATGCAATGGATTATCTTCATTTGTGTTGCACAAAATATATGTATATATGTAAAAAAAATACATAACTTTTGTTAGAAATTCTCTTATTGTTTATTATATTTTATTGTTACAATGTAAAATCCTCAATCCTAAGACTTGATTAATATGGTTTTTACTTTATACTTTTCTCATTAAATGCCTTTGCATTTCATTGTATTTATATTGCTTATTAATAAACCTTACTATGTAGATACTAGATTATATTAGTTTTTATTAAATCTAAAAAAGAAATTTAACACCAAGAATTGATTGTTGTCATATGGTTGCTTTTTATAGTCCAAATTTTCTACAACCATATAATGTTTTCTTAAGCAGATACATTGTCAAGTTTCATTTTTTGTTTTAGTTTTTATTAGTGCATGATTTATTATACAAGTTACAAAAAAAATAAAATAAATCTAAAACTAACTTGTTTCTAATACAGAAGCTATAAGATTTACAATCCAAAGAAACTAATAAATAAAATAGAATATTATTTAAAACCACAAAGAAATTATTTTAAAAAATTAAGTATTCTCATTGATAATGATATAATGATTAGGATATACAAACAGTATTTTATCAATATGTTACAAAACCACTCATAGGTTTTTAATTTAATTTAGAAATTTTAATAATTGCAAAGAAACAAATAAAGGTATTTCTTACATACAAATTTTAATATATTAAAGTATAATAACATGTGCTATAATATATTTGATCAGAATAGCAGCTAATTGTATAAAATATTCTTATATAATAATTTTGAAACTAAAAATAACTTAATAGTTATGTTATAACTAATTCACAATATATTTAAAAGTATTGGTTTTATTGTTATTTTTCACAACACAAAGGACTACAAAAAATATGAACTTTAGTCAAATATACAAAAAAAAATTAGTTTAGGTTAATATCGTAAAAAGAAAAAGAAAAAATTATAATTAAAATAAGATTAAATTTATTTTTTTCTAATTAAGGTAAATCTAATAAAATAAATTCTATAAAACTATAGACATTGCTAGCATAGATATATAGAAAATTTAATAAAATTGTTACATTGCACAAAAATCAAAATTAAAGATATGCCAAATAAAGATAAATTTTATTTAAAAGAATAAATTTAATGTTTAATGTAATACATAAATTATAAATTATTCGATAATTAAAATTTTAGATTATATAAATACATGCTAACGAATTAAAAATTAAAAAATTTATATAAATAATTATTGTCTGTTGATTGCGTAATTTAACAGCTTTATGTATTTGTAAACCACTACTACAAATATAAATATATTTTCTTGATTAATTCCTGAAAACTCGATGGTAGAAAGTTTGTTTTGTAAACAAAATGAGATACAAAGCTGTTTAAGCTTAGTTACATACTTTTTATTGGTAACTCTTAAGTTAATTTCTAATAAAAAAATAAATATATATATATATATATATATATATATACAAAAAAAAAAAATTATTGATTGATACTACCAAAAGTGAGATATTTTTTCAATGAACATTGATATTATTCTTTGGAGTATTTAACTAAGATTCCTAAAATCATTAAATTTAGTGATTAATTTTTTTAAATTTTAAATCACATTATTAAAATTTTAATGATACATATTTTCTAAGGGTCATTTTTTATTTAAAAATATTTTTGTTAATACTTTTTTTTTATATTGATGATTGGATTTAATCTTAAACTCAAAATTTACAAATACATACTATTTTATAAGTTTGGTTACTTATAAGAAAATATCTATTAAAATATGTACTAATGAAACAAACTTGTTTAAGGAATTTAAATGTTATCTAATAAGAAACATTAAAGTTATTTAAGAATTCAAAATCTATATATTAAAGTTACTTAAGAATTCAAAGTCTAAGTATTTTATATATATATATATATATATATATATATATATATTCCTTTCTGTTTTTATTTATACTTCAATTTATTTTGAATTTATAGAAGTTTGTTATCTTAAAGAAAAAAAAGTTGTTAGTATACATTGTTGTTAAAAATATTATATGTGTTTGTACTAAATTCAAATTTTGTTCATATCTTAATTTTTAGTGCGAGATGAGTTATTTAAAATTATTTAATTAAAATATTGTAGTATAATTTAATGAGTATTGGCATTTGTAAGACTATATAATTATATTTTCTTATTTTTAAGAAGTTAAATAGGAAAAAGTAAAAAAATATGTCTAAGTAAAATACAATTTAGATATGTTATATTATTAATGAAACTACTTGAGTCATTTTGTATAAAAAGTATATAATTCTTTGAAAGATGGTTGAAATTATAGAATAAAAATAAAATACTAATAATAAGATTTTAAAAATACATTATTTTTATAATAGATTATAAAAACCCTAAATTCAACACTTCAAAATTAAATTTTTGGAAAAAAAAATTACATACATAGTACATAAGTAATTACTATATTTCTAGTATTTCACTAGTATTCTATAAGTGTTTTATATCAATCATATTCAAAGTAGTTTGGACTTGTAGTATATACAATTATTTAGTGATACATATTTTCTAAGGATTATATATTAATATAAATTTTACTAACATAAATTATACTATTATAAATTATTTTTTAAAATAAGTACCATGCAATGTTAAATTTTTTCAATGTGGATGAAACTAAATAAATAATTTGAATATATTATAAAATAAAAAACATATAGTGTTTTTGTAACTAAAGTGATAACCTATTTTTAAATATTAATAGATGAGTTAAAAAAAATTCTAGTGCTTAAAAATTAAATAATTTTACAAATTTTTGTAATAAAATATTTTTTTATTTTGAATTATAATAAAATAAAATAATTAATAGAAATTCTTTCTTTCATATATAAATGAAACTAATAATTTTAATTAAACACCACAATATAGAAATTATAAAATATATATATTCAAAAGTAAATAAAATTTATAATTTAATATATATATATATATAAAATTTATTATATGTTTATATATTAGTATTAATTAAGATATTTTTTAGTTTTTTATAAGCTTTATTATATAAAGCATGTAGAAGAAGGATATCAGTAAATTATATCAATTCTTAATAAAATATTTATCATTAAAATTATTTCATCAATTCTAAAATCATAATAATTTTTATTAAAATTAAATGATTTATCACATTAAAAATATATCAATAAAACTTAATAGTGATACATGTAGATATTAATTAGTTTTTCTTTACTTGTACCAAAATTACCATCCAATAAATTATTCTTACAATTGAAGTAATCACATATTTAAAATTACATTATATGAATAAAAATATATTAATATTTAAAATAAAGTTTAATTAAAATCACATGTTTTGATTAAAACATAATTTTATATAAGAAATGAGATAGGTACGTAATTCAAGAAATTATAGTATAGAATGTCAAATTATTAAAAATAAGATATCACCATACTAATAT